TAAAGAGTATAGACCCCACCATAGCAAAAAGGAGGCATCATTTGTCAGGAGCAGTTTTGAGAGGTGACCTTCACATTTTGGCTGGGCCACGGGGGCTGCATACACATTGGGATTCCTCCTGGACTTCTGGGAAAAATGAGTTCTTACAATGCATGGTGCCTGGTATGGGGAGTGGGTGCTAAAATATTCTTCTCCTTTCCTTCCTCCCTGTTTGTCTTTCTCATCTTTCTCAACTCCTTTCTACTTTCAGGTCTTCTCTGCCTTCCTCTTCCTCTCCCCATTCCATCACTAGCATGTGCCTCCAAGTTACTTTCCACTCTCCAGTGTCCTTTATCACTATGATTGTGCCTTCTTTAAACACAAACTTTATTCGTATACATACACCTTTTACCATCTGTCACTGAACCAGGTGGAGAACCCAGGTGAGATGGTCAAGTCACTTACTATGAGAGTCTAACATTGACATCTGGTAGTTACTTTGCTCACCTTTTTCCCATAGCTGTCACTACTCTATCATTTAAACTTTGTCAATTCTATATCCAGTTAATGTGGAGGAAGAGCTTGTTACCCTTACTACAAAAACATGCTCTGCTGGTGTTTCTGAGGCACAGTTTTTTTGTAGTTTTTGCCTGATGCAAATTTTTATTTCTGCACTGTCACCATCTTTGGGCAAATTTTTCTTTATGCATTGTCATAATCTTTGGGTTTTTTCTTTCTTTTATTTTATCATTTGTACTGGCATTTGCATTTGTGTTCAGAAAACATTTTATTTTTTGGCCACTTCAGGCTAAGGACAGTTTTCAGTCTCCTGATTATTTGGCACTCCTCTCAATATGTCTGGGCACCTGCTTGGGTTGCTTAGAAATACTGTCTTTGGCTTAATGACCATAATGTCAATGACCTCATTGGCCACTTCTGTATGGTTTTGTTTGGTTATATTATGTTTTGTTAAAGGGTCTTTGTGGAACTCAAGGGACTTAAAAACTGGAGACACATAATGTTTTGCTTTATGGCTGGCATAGAAAGACAATGAGAAACATTTCAGCTTTCCATGTGGGGACTTTCCAACACATGTTCCAACATTTAGACTGGAAAAAGCCCATGCCCTTCAAATTTCAAAGGAAAGAATTCTAGCAACCTTGACAACAATCTAAGCAACCTAAGTGATGTTAGTTTAATGAGTTATATGTTTCTGTGGGTCAAAAATTTAATTTTATACCTGATTTCTCTTTCTCTTTAGAAATGGAACGGACAGTGAAAGCCAATGACCGTGAATTTAACGAAAAGTTCCAGTATGCAGTGAGTAAAGCACACCGCACATTCATGCTTGGGTGGGGCTTACCTTAAGGATAGAACTTTATGACCTCACTAAAAACTTTCTTTGTTCGCCCATTTGAATAGCAAGATGTCGTATGTTTCCATAAATACAGACTTTGGTAAGGTTCACACATGTTGCAGGGCATTTGTGATGGCTTATCTGAGACTTATTTCTCTCTTATACTAAGAGTGACTGGCATGCTTATTGGGAGTGATACCCCTTCTTAGGAATTGGTGCTTCATTCATTCTTGGCCCCATTTGGGCACTAGAATACACAGGAATAACATAAAAATGGGCCTTGATGGTAGAATCTGGGGGTGGAAATGGTGGTGGTTTGTTGATGGGTGATGAATGGCTTTTTGGTGGCTTTTCTAAGCAACTCAGGCTGAAGGTGGGAAATAGTACGTAGGAGAAAGTTCCAAGGATGCTAATGATCTGTTTACAGAGTGAGAGGTGAGAGTGATTAAATGCATGGGCTTTAAGTTAGTACTAAACTATTTTTTTAAAGTCAGGGTTTTCTTCATTTATATAAGAAATACTTGTTGAGTGTCTACTAAGTAATTGGCACTGGAACTTGAGACACATTCGTTGGTGAACAACTTCATGAATTATGTCATGGACCCTCATAAAGATCTCCTCATACTTCTATGGCTCTACTTAAGTTGCTACATGGAGTCTTTTATAAGCTCTTGGATAGATAACTGGTGGAACTGATTTTGAAAGTGACATGTGGGCACATATTCCATTCTTCATGTCTTACCAGTTGTCATTTCTGTTGATAGAGAATGACCTCAATTACTAAACTTTTTACAGGCATTACTCCCCAATGTGAAACTTCATAGTATATGCTCCCATCTCTACAAGAATTTGGAAATAAGATTGCCCGTTAGAAGTTAATTTAAAAAATTAGTAAATGAATGATTGGAGGAGAAATTATAGAAAATGATACTAAAAGAGGCAGAATTGCTCCAAGGCCTATAAGACCTGCCATAAAATTGTTTATATAAGAACCCCTAATGAAAGAGGAGCCCTGGTGGCACAGTGGTTAAGAGCTCGGCTGCTAACCAAAAGGTCGGCAGTTCAAATTCACCAGCTGCTCCTTGGAAACCCTGTGGGGCAGTTCTGCTCTGTCCTACAGGGTTGCTATGAGTCGGAACCGACTCGATGGCACCTAACAACAACAGTGAAAAAAAGTCTCAAGTCAAAGAGGGATTAAAGAGCCATGAAAGCATAGAAACATGAGAGTCATGGGGGCAAACTTTGGCAGTGTCCATCCAGACACTGGCTAGAGAAGAGGGAGTTTTCACCAATGAGTTTTTTAATACTTTTTTCCCATTGGCAAACCTTTCCTGGGTATGGAGATGGATACATTGAGCTATTTTAGCTTGATGCTAATAAACATACAACAGAGGTAGCTAACAACTCCTCTTTTCTCATGTTATGCTAATCACATAAACTTGTGATTTTAATTTGACACTCAGTGTCGATTTCCCTACAGGAAGTCAGTACACTGTCTCCATGATAGGTTTCTCATTGTAAAATAATATACTAGCACTCTGATTTTATTCATCAGTCTTGTAAGCTTGGTTAAAGTAAGTTCACCTATGAGAGAAGATTTCCCTCTCAGGAAGCTGCTGACCCATGTTTCTTAGCCTGAGCGGGGAGGGGACAATAATTCCCCAAGGTGATGAATGCCACTCTCCATGGTCTCCTGACATCCGGTTACCTCTGGTCACCACTAGACTTGGCCCCATGCTTTTCCATCCTTCTACAGCCGGTCCTTTAACTGTAGAGAATGACCCTTGAAAGCCTTAACCGTCAAACCCCAAATCAGAGGAGGAGGCATATGTATATTTTAAGACCTTGGGGAAAAAAACAGTAATAAGTAATCCACTACAAGTAATAATGTATTTAAGTACTTGGCTACATTTATTTGTTTTCCAACATACAACAAGTATTTTCATTCTGTATTAACTGTATAAGGAAAGCCATATATTGCTTGTGCTTCGTAAGATGATACAGTCTTTTATATTTACAGCTATTTTTACTTTTAATTGATGAAATGTTTCAAAAGTATGGAAAAGTATAGAAAATAATATGACACCCTGTGCCCTCCATTCAGATTTTTCCCTAAATTTTATTTATTTTGTTGTTGTTGTTGAGAATATACACAGCAAAACATACACCAATTCAACTGTTTCTACATGTACAATTTAGTGACATTGATTACATTCTTCAAGTTGTGCAACCATTCTCACCCTCCTTTTCTGAGTTGTTCTTTTCTCATTAGCATAAACTCACTGCCCCCTAAGGTTCCTATCTAATCTTTCGAGTTACTGTTGTCAATTTGATCCATATAGATAGTTTTTAAAAGAGCATAATGCTCAAGATGGACATTTTTTACTAGTTAAGCTAAACTATTGTTTGGTTTTAAGATAACTTCCTGTGATATTTTTGATTTAAGGTTAAAAATTATCTCAGGGCAGTAGCTTCAGGGGTTCATCCACCCTCCATGACTCCAGAAAGTCTGGAGTCCATGAGAATTTGAAATTCTGCTCTGCATTTTCACTCTTTTGATCAGGATTCTTCTAAGGAATCTTTGATCAAAGTGATCAGTAATGGTAGCAGGCACCATCCAGTTCTTCTGGTCTCATGGCAAAGGAAGCAGTTGTTCATGGAGGCAATTAGCCACACATTCCATAACCTCCTCCTGTTCCTGACTCCCCTCCTTCCTTTGTTGCTCTGGGTGAATAGAGACCAATTTTTGTGCCTTGGATGGCCACTTGCAAGCTTTTAAGACCCCAGGATCTCTGCAACAAACTAGGAGGTAGAACAGCAGCACTAAGCATGTTATTAGGCCAATTAACTGGGATGCCAATGAAACCAAGACCCTAAAGCTCCAAACCAAGGAATCAAATCCCATGAGGCATTTGGTTGTATATAAGCAGCCTCAGTAGCTACTCCTTTTTTTGTCCTTGTAACTATGTCTGTCTTTACATATATAACATGTATGTATATATATATATATATATATATAAATCTTTTATATCTCAAAAGAAATTGACTTAAGACCCAACCTAATCTTGTAGGTTGAGTCCTGCCTCTTTAACATCATAGGATTTACAACACGTAGGAAAATAACGTCAGAGGACAAAATGGTGGACAATCACTCAATACTGGGAATCATGGACTAGCCAAGTTGACACACATTTTTGGGGGGACACAATTCAATCTATAACAGTGTCCACCCAGATTTAATAGATATTCACAATTTGCCATCGTTGCTTTAGATCTTTCTTTTAAAAGTAGTAAAATGCTAATGATACAGAGATGGTTTTCTCTCAAGCTTTCATGATATTACACAAAAGCACACAGATGTGCGACTGCAGCTGTGTTTTCCACTGAGCTTCCTAATAATGACAAGGTAGTAGAACAGCATACTGTGCAGCAGTAAATCCAACAGGACTGCTCACGCTCTCTCTGGGCTAAACATACTAAGGTAAAAATAAAACCCATTATGTCCTAGTAACGGGGAGACTGGTAATGTGAGTTGTGAAAGGGGAGCTGCAGAGCAGCAGGGGCACAAGTATCCTAGGTCTGCTGACCACTGTTGTGACTCAAAGCTCATGAGCAGCTGCCAGGCACTCCGGAATGGTAGTGGGTTTCCATTAAAACTGGTTGATGTTGCCTTGATCCAGGAACTACCAACAGGTTGGCTGGCTGTACAGTGAGCTTTTAGCCTCAGTTTACCGAGCCACAAACTGGGAATAATAAAAGTACCTGTTTCATAGAATTATTGTAAAAATTGAAGTAGATAATATACAACAACCCTATCAGTCAGTCTATGAAGATCTGGGATTTGAACTGATGTTTATCTGATTCCAAAGCTTTTTTTTTAAATTGGTGTAAAATATACATAACATAAAATTTGCCATTTTAACCCTTTTTAAGTGTACAGTTCGGTGGCATTAATTACATTCACAATGTTGTGCAACCATTACCACTGTCTGTTTCCAAAATACATTCATCACCCCAAACAAAAACTCCACACTCATTACGCGGTAATTCCCCATTTCCCTCTCTTCCCTAGTCCCTGGTAGCCTCTAATATGCTTCCTGTCTCTATGAATTTGCCTATCTAGATATGTCATTATAAGTGCAATCATACTTTATTTGTCTTTTTGAGTCTGGATTATTTAACAATGTTTTCAAGATTCATCCATGCTGTAGTATGTATCAGAACTTCCTTCTTTCTTATAAATGAATAGTATTCCATTGTATGTATATACCACATTGTGTTTATCCATTCATCTGTTGATGAACTCTTGAATTGTTTCCACTTTGGGCTACTATGAATAATGCTGCCATGAATATTAGCATACAATTATCTATTTGAGTCCCTGTTGTCAATTCTTTTGATTATGTACCTAGGAGTGGAATTCCTGGGTCATTATGTTCTGGTTCTGTTTAAATTTTTGAGGAACTTCCAAACTGTTTTCCACAGTAGCTGCACCATTTTACATTCTTACCAGCAATGTACAAGGATTCCAATCTCTCTAATTCCTCACCAACATTTGTTATTTTCTTTCTGTTTTTTTTTTTTTTTTTTTGGTTATAGCCATCCTAGTAAGTATGAAGTGGTATTTTATTATGGTTCTGATTTGCATATCCCTAATGACTACTGATGTTGAACAACTTTTCAGGCACTTATTGACCATTTGTATATCTTCTTTGGAGAAATGTCTATTCCAGTCCTTTCACATTTTTAAATTAGGTTGTTTGTTTTCTTGTTGTTTAGTTGCAGGAGATAGTATATATTCCATATATTAAACCCTTATCAGATATATGATTTGAAATATTTTCTCCAATTCTGTGGGTTGTTTTTTATTCTATTGATAGTGTCCTTAGGCACACAAAAGTTTTAATTTTGATGTAGTCTAATTTATTTACTTTTGCTGCCTCTGCTTTTGGCATTGTATTTA